TGCTGGGGAAGAGAAGCCGTCTTGCTGTGGGGAGGGGACCCGGTTGTCGGAGTGCAGGCTTAGCCGGCGAGGGGAGGGTGAGCCGGCAGACCCCGCCCCGGGGGCCGGACGAGGGAGGAGCCGGGGCTGCGGCGAGCGGAGGGGCGGACTGAGCGACGCGCGGGAAGCACCTCAGCCTTCGCCAACGGCACTGGAGGCGGCTCAGGTGACAGAGCAGTCAAAGGAAGCCCATTGGCGGTGTCTCCACCAAGGGGGTGGTGCGAACCGGAAGCCGGGCCACGTGACCCGGAAGCTGCTTCTGCCGAGACCGGCGCGCCTGCGCACTCATGCCTGTGCCTCCGGGACGCGGGCGGGCGGCTGCCCAGGGTCTTGAGTGACTGCAGGACTGGGTTTCGCGGCACCCTTAGCCGGCCCCGGGGTGCGGGGCAGGGAAAGTCCGGCCCTCGAAGAACCAAGTTCGAATTCCGATGACTCTCTGTGTCCCAAAAGGGTGGGACGGCCGGTGATGATGGCAGGAGAAGAGAGGGAGTGTTGCAACTCTGGGAAAAACAAGTCAGCTCTTTTCGTGGAGCTGGTGCACGCGTTCACAGGGCCTTTTGCTAGCATTTTGCCTGAAAATTGTCCGGAATCCGGCCCCTCCTATCACACTGCTACAGCCCTACCTAGTCCAGACACCTTTCGCCCGAGATTCGCCAAGAGTCTCTTCGCTGGGCTTGCCTCGCCCATCCTCAGTGGTGCGGACTGGAAGAGTTACCGTGCGCTGTTGGCTGAAAAGCCCAGACAACACCTCATCTTCGAGATCCCGCCTCCTTCACACGGGGTGGTCCCCACCAGCCGCCTAGGTTCCAGTTTAGCCTTGCCGACTACTTGTTCCGCCTGGCATGTCCTTCCTCTCAAATGTCACATCTCCTATGAAGCCTCATCCTAAAACCCTGTAAGAATGAGTACCTCTTTCACCCACATGTCCGTTAGTCTTTATTTACCATATCTTGGACTTTATTCATTTTGCATCCCAACCTAGTTCACTGGTATATAAAACAGCTAATAAACGTGAGTTGACCGATAAAGACTATAAAATGATAGATTTGTTAAGGGCTGAGCGTAGTGCTGGGCACGTAATGGATGTTCATATTTTTGTGAATGATAGAATGGGTGAATCATCTAGTCCAACTCATCTTTTGCAGGTAAGGAAAGGGGAGCCCCACAGGATTAGGTGACCTTGTTTGAACAGCCACGGGTTTCCCATGTCGAATGCTATTCATTACTCCAGACACCTAGGTTCTTACGAAGGAAGCTAAAAAATTGCTTCTGTTGGGCCATGCCCTTTTTGCAGAGGTTCCTAAACACAGTTGCCTGAATTTTTTAATGGCCCAAAGTAAAAAAGAAATGCTAAATTTTTCATGAAGCTAAATTTAATCGATTTAACGGAATCCTTTATTAGGGATTATATTGTGTGTGTATGTGTGTTACAATGTCTGTAAAACTAAGAAAGTATATAATAGGAATTTGGGGGCGTTTTTTAATGCGCTTGTTTGGCGAAATAAAAAATGTATAATACCTCCCCTTTTCAGCACTACTATGCTGCTTGGAAAGTTTCCTACTAATAAGTAAGATGCACGTATGCTGGAATATTAAAGAAGAGGACAACACAAAACACAGAGCTGGCTTTCTGTAGTTCTTTAGACGCCCTGCCCAAATTTCTCCCTACTCCCTGCCCAATTATGCCCCAAAAGTGGTTGCCAGTGTCCCATTTCTTTCTTACTACACGAAACATGCAATTAGCCAGTTTAAGGATAGCTCTAATACTACGCAATGAAAACTCGTCCTCTGATTCTAAGTGCTTCTTTTCTCTTTTTCTGTACAAAACACTGATGTCCTCAAGGTTCCCGAGATAGCAACCTCCAAGTTTAAATTCATTGGTTATGCTCCTAATGTTGGTCTGTGGCTCTGAAAATTAGGACGGGAGACTTGCTGACGACATATTGGCAGTCTCCTGTCTGTGTCCTTAGCCAAAAAAAAAGGTGGGGGTGGGACAGAGAGGGGAAGGAATTATGGGAAAAATAATTAGCAGCTAAAAGCAGCTATTACATAATCTTGGCTGCCTATTAATTGAGCAGAAGGAATGGCTTATTAAATTCTAATAGCGACAGTACAACTGCAAACAACCTAGCAATTAACAGTGCAGGACCCATTATTTTGTTAATATGTTCTCTTCTTTGGCAAGTGTATGAGAACAAAATTTATAGAAGCAGATGGTCTTTTTCAGTAGATTATAGATGGTTTATTCCCCTGTCTTAGTATTAAGTGCTAGTTGTGCATTCATTGTGAAAGACAAAAGAAACACAGTTGCCATCTTTGTTAGTAATTAACTGCTTGACTTTGAATCCCACAATTTCCAAGTTGTGGGCTTCATTATATACATGTTTCTTTTCACCTAGTATCTTCTTCATCTGTCGTGTCAATATGGTATCTTTTAAAATTCTTTTTGTTTTCTGGATGGTCCTGATTTCTTGTTGTTAACGGTATAAAAATTATAATACAAAAATTATTTTTATGGGGGCTGGCCGGTTAGCTCAGTTGGTTAGAGCACAGCCTTGTAACATCAAGATCATGGGTTCAGATCCCCGTAGTGGCCAGCTGCCAAAAAAAGAAAAGATTATTTTTATGAAAAATTAAAAATC